CTCCTCCTCCTCCTCCTCCTCTTTCCTAGTTTATCATCATCTGCCAGCATCACAATGGGTCTCCTTTGTCTTGCCCATTGCCCACAGGTAAAACAAGAAACATCCCAGGTTAGATCCCTGCTGGATTGCACTTGTTGCTTGATATTTCCTTCATTGTTTTGCTGTCGGGAATCATTCTTGGCATATGCATTTCTGCTGCATCTGGTAAAACAACGCTTTTCCTCACCCTGCAGGAAATGGTAAAGTTTAAATAATTGCATTTGTACTTATAACAAGGTTTTTGGTTTACAGTTGGACTTGATCTTAAGGGTCTTTTCCAATGCAAATAATTCAATACTGCCATAACCTGGACTGAGGAATTATCATGTGCTTCATTCAGGGTGATGAGCAGCTCTTGCCTTTGTGCCATGTTATAAAGCATGCACACACAAGTCTTTGTCTACTGCACATTGTTTTAGCATGTGTTTGACAGCAAATATTTGAATGCTCACTCCAATGACTTTTCTGCTGTAGGCTGCAGCTTTGGTAGCCCTCTTTGTATCTAAATGTCTTAGCAGATGGGTATTGGATTTAACTGACTTTCTTGTGTTTGTGCCAGGATGAATATCCACATCTGGCAACACTGAGTTGGTATCTGTTGTTTAGACATTCACACGTAAGAAAAAGGGCAAGCTGAGAGAGCTTGTGTTACATGTGAAATTTCATGTGATAAAGAAAATTAAGAGACGTTTACTAATTAACAAAAAAGCAAAGGAATATTTCACTAGACTCAGCTAGAATAGCACTGGAGAAGACAGAGGACATATTTATTTGAACTTTTTATTTTGTAATACTTTGTACCACTTTTACATATGTAAGACAGAAGGATAGTACCAGTAAGTAAAGCTGTTAATAGAGGAAAATGTCCCTTTTAACTCCTTATTACAGATGAACTAGTTGTAATCAATTTTCTCAGGGAACATGCTACTGACATTCTGCAAAGCATGATATTTGATTACAATTTACTTCTAGTGAATAAGGAATGCTAATCTAGCAATCCTAGACAGAGCTGTGTCAGAACTTTTTTTTTTTGTATGGCTTACAGATATTTTCTCCCCAGTATTTTCTGACTTTCTTTTCCTTCCTTACACTACTAAATAAATAAAATGTGGTTTAAATTTGGTCTTCCAGCCATTTCTGACAAAATACATATATACACTGAGGATATGAAAGCCTGGAGGATAAATTTTATATCTTCTGCTGGTTTGGTGGGGCAGGTGGTGAGTGGTATCTCAATCTATTTGTGTTAACCACTTCCAACATGTTGATTACCAACAGCAGCAAGTCCTTTTGTGTGTAGAAACAGATACTACAAGGCTCAAAGCCAAACTGCTGATGCTTTATTAGCATCACCAGTGATTCTGCTTTATTTTATCAGAGACTCTGATTATTTACAGGCATCAAAGGTCAGATGCAAAATGTGTATACTTCTGTTTTGATTATCGCAATTCAAAAGACAATGGAAGTGGCAAGATCACTAAAAAAGTTCTGCCTTCACAGAATCATTTGCAGTTATTTCCAGCCTGGACAATATCCCTGTGCATGTGGGGGAGCATGCCCAAAAACTCCAGGGAAACATTCTCCTCTCACTTACTTGGAGCAAGGATTTTTTTCCCATTCCTCTTACATTTCTACAGAGCCATGAAATGCAAGGACTTTTGACCCTGTTTTGATACTAATAATCCATTTTATACACTGAACTTCCTAAATCATTGCTTCAATGCACCTCTGTCACATGCTATTGACTTTAATACTACCATCACTGTTCTTCCAAGTGATGAATCTTCTTTCACAAGGCTGGGAAGACAAAAATCCATTTCAGAGTCTCCAACAGGGAGTCAATTTATCATTACTTCAGTAAGCATTCTTAGCTGCCTAGGGCATCAATTCTCTCTCTTGGTCCTCCATATCAATACCCATATCATGGGGCCCTTCCTGAAATACTTCTTATTTGATAAAATACTGCTAATTTTTATTCATGATGATGGGCAACTGAGATGTTATTGTCCAATTTTATGCTCTTTCCTTTCAGCCACTGGATCCTGTCAATTACATATACAACTAATGTATGTATTTATTTTCTTTACATTTCTAATGGACAAGCATTCTAGGGTTACTAAAAAATTGTATTAAATACAATAGTATATAGTATGTAGTTTGAAACTTAACAAAAAGTATCTTTTGTGTCTGTCCATCTATCTGCCTGTCCAGCTATCTACCTACCTACCTACCCACCTACTCACCTACCTTTGACTCTGTAAGTTTGAGAACAGCTTTTGTAGTAATCATCTCCCTTTACACTAATTTTCAGATATAAACCCAAGGATGCATTCACTGAAAAAGACCTGTTGAGCACTAATTCATACTGCCCACCTGGTCCAGTTGAATTGTGAGCTGAAAAAAATTCTGCAGCCTAAAAAGGGAGAAGATTGAAGAGCAAGAGACCCATTTTGTTGTGGGGTTTCCTTTATCAGAGAAGGTATATTTTTTATTTGTTCTTATTGTTCTAATTCTCTACTTCTAATGAAAGTGGAGAACAAAGGAAGTGGAAGAAATACACCAAAAGACCCATCTTTCTAATGTGGAAATGAGTTTAGAATGTTTTTGCAAAGATCTCTGCGAAAGGAGCCGGGTTGTGGATCTGACTCTATAGTTGAATATCTGTTCCTTCAGGTCATTATTTTTGTGGGGTTTGACCTGGTCTCCCACCTCAAAGGGACTCTATTGCTTCCACAATGCTTGTACATCTTTTAACTACTTCATTCCAGAAACAATGCTGGCCTCATAAGAGTGCTGAAATACTTGGTAGGAAAAGGGAAAAATGAAACTGGGTGTGGGTCAGATCCATAAGCACAAATCCTGCCCAAAATAAGGAAACCAAATCCACCTAAAAATTCACAGGAATATCCAAAGAAATGCAGTGATGAACTGATATTTAAACTGGAGACATGGCCAAGGCCTTGGTGACTAGCATTTAACTGTGGTGGTGAGCCAAAGACATGGGTGAGAAGAGAGAGTGTAACATGGAGCTGCAGTAGCCTTGGATGTATGTGTAGAGGCACGAGGAAATGTAGGGATGGGTATCTCATTGTAACATTGCTGGGTGGGAGGATGGCATCATCAGGAAATGGACTGTAACCTAGCATCCCTCACTGCTTATTTTCAGGGGCCAGACATCCATTTGACTGTGACATCACTGTGTGGTGGAAAAAAACATCACCAAAAGATGGACTGTGATATCACATCCTTCACTGGTTATGTGTGTGCCTGCGGAGCCTTGCTGGGCCAGCTTAGCTCAAGCCTGGACTTCTGCTGAGTGTGCGGGCAAGTGGGAGCTCCTTCTATAGCTCTCAGTTCTCCCCAGCCTGCTTCAGCAAGACATGGCCACAAGGGCAGACTGGAGCTGCCCCATCTGCCACAGCAGTCAGAGTGATGTGGCATCTGCTGTGCCCTGTAATGACCGGTTCTGCCTGGGCTGCATCCTGCGGTGGGCAAACACAAATCCAGTGTGCCCAGTCTGCAGCAGACGTATGGAGACTGTCAGGTTTTCTGAGCGGAACAAACGGGACTATCTACAGTTTGCCATCACAGCCTCAGAAGCGTTGGCAGAGGACAGCAGCCAGGCAGGGAATGCTCCATTCTACCTGGCCCGAAAGAGACTCCATCACCCCAGGGTGTCCCCTCCACCTTCTCCACAAAGGATGCTGTCTCCAGATGAGCAGGGGACTGTAGAGCCAGTGTTCATGGGTGGCCTATTGCCTGAGGTCTGGGCAGAACTTTTCCAAAGGCAACAGCAACTGCTGGACCCTGTGCTTCCCTGGCTGCGCTGGAGGCTGGAAGCAGTCTATCACGATCAGTGGTGGCGAGCAGAGGCTGCAGAGAGCTCCATCCTGCATGGCCTCTGTGTCTGTGGTCCAAATGCAGAGATCTTAATTGAGCTGCTGGAACCTCTCCTCAATGGGCACACAGCATCGCTGGTTTATGGCATCATGAATGTCATTGCAGGCCAGTGCAGTGACAAAGCCCAGAGGCTGCTGTGCTTCCATCATGCCAGTACCAACTCCAGTAGCTCCAGCTACACTAGATCCCGGGAAGTGACTCCTACCAGTGGAACCACAGGCTCTGAGGTGGAGGAGGAAGCCAGTACATCAGAAACTGGTCTCCAACAGAGTCCCAGCCACCCCCCAACTATGCCCACCTCCTTAGAGCAGGACCAGCCCCAGGAAGAGCAGGAGCAGACGGTGGTGGCAGCAGGTCCATCTGCTCAGGGCTGCAGCCCCTCTCCTCCTGACCAGGCCAGGGACCACTCTTCTAGGCAGCCTCGGCATGCTCGGAAGAAGAGAGCCCGTCGCGCCCATGATTCTCCCTGCCCAAAGAAGAGGCCACCTCGGCAGCAGCACTAGCAGACCTCCAGGAACTATTCAACCAAGAAAAAGGAAATAAATTGTCATTTCCCTGACAAAGTCTCTGAGTGCTGCCTTCTCCCCCTTCTGGTGCCTTTCTCTGGCCCCCATACTCCACCATCAGCCAAGAGTGCCCGGGACTCCAAGGTCATTTCAGCAGTGCCTTCTCACACAGGAAATGATGCTGCAGCTGTGATGATTGAAAAACTTTCAAACAAGCACTGGGGTGATGCTACCAGAAGTATCAGGAGTGAAAGGCTGACCAGGCATTTATCACATGAGAAGAGGAAAACTCTGATAGTGCCTAACACAATTTCTGCCTAAAACATTAGTGCCAAATGTACAGTTTGATGATGTCAGATACACTCAGAGGACAGGTACAGCCTGAAGGTACCAATAACAGTTCATTCAATCAGTGGGAGACAAAAGACCTACACATTAATGTAGAATGTACTCTACAAACTGGGGAGTGGAAGAGGAGGTAATACCAGAAGCACTATTCATAAGAACACAAATTATACATTTTGCAGGTATGTTTCAAAAACTAAATAAACAACAAAACCAAAACCAGCCAGTCAACCAAGAAAACCCCAAAACCCATCAAAAAATGTAAGTGTTGTTCTTTAAAGCTTTGGAGGCTGTTTCTGGACACAGTAAGTTTATATTTTGGGTGATCTGTTTGTTGGAGACCAGAAAGAAGTTACTACAGGCAGTTGAAGGAGGAAGGAGAAGTAATAACATTTAGCACATTGCCTTTTTGTTTCTTGTGTCTGTACAGTCTCTAGGACAGTTCATTCTGACTACAGAAAAGGTTGGATGATGGAACACAGTGGGAAAGTTGTAGATTTGCCACCTGCTTGCAACAAGCAGCAAGCTCAGTGACTGAACAGGCAGTTGCTGTCCTGCTGCATGTTCCTGGCAAGAGCCTGTGCTGATTTCTCAGACCAACTATGTGCTGTTCACCCCATGAACATCCTGTGAGATGCATTCTGAGCATGACTCAGACCACAAGAACCTGGGTGGCAAAAAATTCTCTCAGGAGGAGGGAGAGGTGCCCAGCTGGCCTACCAGCAGACATTCATCCAGGGAAAGTCCTGCTGAACAACCTGGTGGTCTTCAATGATGGAGTGGCTACACTAGTGTATAGGGATACAGAATACATGAGGATAGCTGAGAGATGTTATAAAAGGTGTTTTATTGAATAATCAGTCTCATGGAAGGGTGAGCCATTTAAGATGCTACATTCAGTGCCACCACATCAGAAGCCATCTAAATTCTAGTTACAATATCTTTTATAAAATTCTTAGCTAATCAAACAAAGCTCACCAGCATCTTCATAAACCAATCATTAATTGCTTCATCTCACACGATTCTACCGTAACGCATTTTTTCTCATCCAATCATATAACACTACATATAACACTAATATATATCACATACATATATGTACATATATACATAAATATATACACATATATACATATAACACCAATCATATAACAATACAGAAACTTACATTGAGCTTTCTATTAACTCTATAACAGATTTTATTGTTAAACTTTAAAATTTCCTACCGTCTTGCATAACGTATTTATTCCCTTACACGAGGCGTATTTCTGCTTGCTTAAAACACATTCCTGCTTTATATCATACTTCATGTCTCTGCAACTTTATTGTTCTAAAACTCCAAGCCTTTTCCAAGGTCTCAGGTCAAACTTTGTATCTGTCTCTACCTCTGAGCCTGGATGCTCAAGGCCTTGAGAGCTTGCTGTGCCTGCATTTCCCACACCAGCGGACAAGGGAAAGGCTACAGACGTCATCTTCTGGAGTTCTGTAAGGACTTTGGCACTATTCCCCACAACATCTTCTGCTCTAAATTGGGAGAGAGGTGGCTTTGATAGAACTGTTCAGTGGAATTGGAATTGGTTGGACGGGCATATCCAAATGGTAGTAGTCCATGGCTTGCTGAACCTATGGGCATCAGTGAAAAGTGGTGTTCCTCAGGGGCCCATATTGGAACCAGTGCGATCTTCATCAAGGACAGAAGACAGAGGGATCTTGGGCACCCTCAGTCAATTCGTGGGTGACACCGTGCTGAGCGGGTGACATGCCTGAGGAATGAGGTGCCATCCAGAGGGACCTGGACAAGCTCAAAAAGGGGGCCCATGGGAACCTCATCACCTTCAACAAAGCTGGGATTACAGCCCAGAAAGCCTGTGTCCTGGGCTGCATCACACATCTGCAGTGTGGGCAGCAGGTCAATGGGGCTGCATCTTCACTCTGCTCTGGTGAGACCCCATCCAGAACACTGCCTACAGCACTGAGCCCCCAGCATAGGAAGGACACGGACCTGTTAGAGCAAGTGCCAAGGAGGCCACCAAGATGGTCAGAGGGATGGAACACCTTTGCTGTGAGGGACAGGTGAGAGAACTGGGCTTGTTAAGTCTGGCAAAGATAAGACTCTGGGAGACCTTACAGCTCTTTCCAGTATCCCTGAAATCCCAAAGCACTCTATGATTCTATGATTTCAGGTGAACCAAATAGCTTTCTTCATACTGGCAACTGGTGCTATTTATTGCATGTTTCACCCTCCAAATCAGCAGTTCTTCAAGAAACATAAAAAATACCTTCCTCTTTCAAAATCTCTCAAGATATTATAAAGCTCCATGTTTTCAAGTACTTTCTTGACGAGAATAGTAAACCACTGGTCTTGTGCAAAACAAGATGAGAACTTACATGATCACCTGTTGTGGAGTACAAGGCATAAGAATGTTTTATCTCAAACATTCTGTTCCAACAGAAATTTGTGACTGGAAAAGAGGGTGCTGTGGAGATGGGAAAGCGCTGAGCTTTTAAGCCAACTTATTTTTCTGCCTTGAGACTTGTGCTCAGTGCTGATAGGTGAACTCCCACTCCTGACTCCCTTCCTGGACAGCACCAAGAAGGGCTGACTGCACATGTCCAGAACAGCGGCAAAATCTGTTCCACAGAAGAGGTGTACACCAGTAAAACTATAAAAGACAAACGCATCGGTCCTCCTCTCTCTCTTTTAGTCTCTTGTGCTCTCTTTGTTCACCACATTCCCAAGTAACAGTTTCTTGACATGATCTCATGTTTTCAGCCTGAGAAGAATTTATAAGGAACATCACAAACCCTATCAGGTCAATTGCGACACAACGGACCAGGAAAAGAGGGTGGGAGTTCTAAAGCCTTGCATGAACTCTTGCATGCACTGTGAGTGAGACTGCATTGGAAAACTGATCCAAATGGTGAGAAGCTGCAGCACTGTGTTGAAATGCATTTGGAGAATAATTGCTTCCAACAACCAGTGTAATACCATCTATTTGACAGCTTGTCATTCTGCTCCATTTACTTCAGAGCTAAATCCCCAAGCCATTCAGAGACCTTCTCAAATGTTCACTACAGAACAAAGCGGGACACGGGCCTCCAAAGGATAGGATTGATGGAAACATGGAAAGCCAAGCAACACACCCACTGCATACACAGCCATGTTGCTGCTGCACTGCTGTGGCATTTCCAGGGAGCCTTGCCCACCTGAGGTGCACCTCAGGGAGCTTCCCTGGCTACAGCCATGCAGCATAGCTGCCTGCTATGGATGTGAAGAAAGGAAGGGAAGAAAATTGCAGCACGCTGTGGGACAAGTTACAAAATGCTAGCTAGTGGGCCCAAATGGGCTGGTCCCAGAAAAACTGGAAGTGCTGAGGCAGAGACCAAATAGATCAGGTGCTGGACAGGCTACAGGAAGGCAGCCTTAGGAAATGTCGCGGAGGTGGCCGGAGCGCCGCGACTTCCCTGGAGAAGCTGTCCTGAAAAGGACTGGCCAGAAGCGCGGGTGCGTCTTCAGCCCAGCGAGTGATTTCAGCCCAGCTCTGCGGCAGCGTGCAGGCAACACGGAAGAAGGGACGGGAAATCTGTTTGGTGTTCCGCTCCGGATTTGTGTTTATTCAGGCAGAGCCAGTAGCGAAGGGAGCCGGTGGCAGCTACTCCTCCGAACAGAGGAAAACTCGGGGTATTTAGAGGGGAGGAGAGGGGCGCGGGGAGACCGGGATACATGTATCGGGGTGGGACGGCAGGGGGGGAACACCAATGGAGTGTAACAGTTTAACAGAACTAACTCAAAGATCCCTGGGAGTGATACTTCTTCTCTCTCTGACTGCAAGATGCCTTGCCTCCAGGGGAGAGCCAGGATCGCCGAGCCAGCAGGTTCCCCGGCCCCCACAAGGAAAACAAAAAAACCACCACCGTCCCAAAGTCTGGAAGCTTCATCCCTCTGCCTCTCGCTTTTAAACCACTTTTTTCTCTATTTCTCATGTTGTGGTTTAACCCCAGCCAGCAAGCAGGCTCCACACACAGCCATTCTTGCTCACTGTTCCACCAGGGGGATGGACTGGGCAGAGAATTGGAAGGGTAAAAGCTGGGAAACTCACAGGTGAAGAGTATTTCAGTTGCATAGGGAATACAGAAGACACACACACAAGCAAAAAACCCAAAGAACTCGTTCACCATTCCCCAGGAGCAGGCAGGTGTTTCACATCTCCAGGATAGCAGGGCCCCCTCACGCCTCACAGTGACTTGGGAGAGCAAGTGCCATCAATCCAAATATCCCCTCCTTCCTCCTTCCTCCCTCTTGCACTCAGCTTGAACTACATAGCAGGATGTCAGATGGTCTGGAATATTCCTTTGGCCACTTTGGGTCACCTGTCCTGGCTGCGTCTCCTCCCAGCCTCTCATGCAGCACAAGCCCAAGGGAGCTCTGTCTGGGCAGCTCCTTCAGATGTGGTGGCTGCCATGGGACCACATGAGAAAGCATTTTGCTTCAGTCCAGAACAGAAATGGAGGAAAAAAAGGAGAAAATGAAATTCTGATCTCCAGTCAGTTTTCTATGGTTTACATGGGGTTTGTTTGATCTGTTCTTTGCACCTGTTAAGTGTTGTCCAGAACCAAAAAAGAAAGGCATTTGAAGATGCAACCAGAAAAGGGAGAAAGGTGGGAAGGGAGGGGAAAGGAGGTTCTGGGAGCAGGGTAGGCAGTCAGGAGATAGGGAAAGTTCCTGAGTACCCAAGCAATGGGAAAGGGAACAGGGACCCCTGGCCACAAAAGGGTATAAAAAGGTTGCAAGGTTGCCATTTCAATGAAGTGGGTGTGCAGCTCTCAGAGGAGAGACACACACCCAACTCAGCTGATTTATTGGGATCACTAAATAGATTGTGCTTCAAAGAATTTGTCCCCTCTTAATTCAATCAGAAGTGAGCCACATTTCACACTGCTGAGAGTGTGAAGTTGAGACTGATGGAGTCTCAGTCTCAAAGAGAGAGAGGCTGAGAGGCTGTGGCTTGCACAGATCCAACATGCTCAAGTTTTCCCTCCCTCACATCAGCCTTGGTTCCCATGGCAGAACTTCCATTCCCGCTGGACACTCACTTGTGCCTGA